GGTGTCACGCCCAGAAATTCCCGAATAGAATTCCAAGCAGAATGTGCATTAAAACCCCCGTCCAGGACAGGCCGGGGTACACAAACGACAAAGTTGACATATAGATCCACGTCTTACAAACATTATAAAAGTCTTACATAAATGCAGCGGAAAATTAAAAGATAACTGGAGCTAACCCTTGACTTGGACCGCAACGGGAACACCACTCCACAGGCATCCTCGACGGCACGAACGGAGCCTACTCCTCGGAGAAACCGCCATCTGACACGTACTCAAACTCTGGTGTTTTGGGGAAAATAGAGCAAGCCTGAGTACAACCACCGTACTCAGCAAGTCATACCGGAATAGGGGTATGATGCAGGGTATTACCAATGGATAGCTAGAGAGGTTCTTTTGCATAAAGTGAGCATTTATAAACAGTAGTTGAAAGCAGTATAAAAATTGTATTAATTACCCAATATTATCCATCCACTGTCCAACGCTACACCATGTTGCAACAGGCCCAACCATCCACCTGAACTAATCAATTCCATTAGACTAGACTAGGGTGAGACTAATCACAGTGAATCTGGTTGACCGCCCATAACCGCGGGCATAGCTATTCGAATAGTTTTACTCTGATCAGATGTGTACAATTGTACCCACAAGACACAGCCCCACGACGCGTTCTCGTGCGCCGACATGCCACCACGACATACCGGATAGAGGCCGTGACAGGACCCTTCGCATTACCCCCTCTAACCAAGCACACCACACCTCAGGTTTCACCCCCACTCCTCGCAAGGCAGCGGGCAGTCCCCTTTCGTGCCTAGGTGAATCCGGAAGCCGCATAGGCCGTCGTAGGGCCCATCCAAACTCCATCACGCCCACCCTTGCCTGGATGCGTCAGCTAGAGGAAAGCTACACTACAAGCCCAGCCGTTGCCCACGCTGGCTTGTGGCAAGTACGAGGAATTCTTCCAGGGTTTCCCACAAACCGGTCCTTAAGTGCCATGGGCGCGACCATCAAAACCATGCACCCACAGCCCAGCAATTAGTATATTTTAATTGACTAACACCAAGACGGTGGCTTTACTCCACCACCAACACTAGAACCTGAAGTCTAAGCATTAATGTGATTTCCCCCATTGTGTGCTAGTTGAACTAAGCAAGGCTAAGCAATCCCTAGTCCAATCTCTAGTCATGTTATATCCCAAGCTAACAAAGGAGCATGGTACAAAATAGCATGGCTGTAACAGTAGGTAAACATCCCGTAGTAACATTATAAAACAATGCAGTATTTAAGGGAAAATAGTAGAGCATTTGCAATATAGGATTAACATGTTCAAGTGACAAGCATGACTTACCTTGCTCTGCTGCTGGAGGAACCTCGGCGACTATTTCAAAGTACACCAGAGCGTCGGGAGAGCCGGAATCTAAGCGACATACAAAGCAAACAATACAAACAGGCTATAAGACTACTGAAACAGAAAACAAAACCATTTTTAATGGATTCTATGCATTTTTCTTGATTTTCTGAGACTTGAATGGGCTTAAACGGAGCTCAGATGAATTAGATATGAATTTTAGAAGATTCACTGTGTTTTACTATAAACAGAAAAATCCTTAATTGATTTATTACGCAATAATTAAAATCCCGGGGAGAGAGAGAGGGCAGCGCCGACATGCGGGCCCCACACGGAGTGACTCAGGGGGGCGGTCCACGGTGGACCGGGTCCACGAACCGGGGAAGGAGCGGCGCACCACGTGGTGCACACGTGGCGCCGACGCGGCGCACACGTGGCGGCCACGTGGTAGCCACGCGGGCGGTGGGGTTGGACGGCCCCAATCTACGGCGGCGGGAGCACGTGGCCGGCATGCACGGGCGGCTCAAGCCGGCCCGGCGGCCATGGCGCACGGCGGCGCAAGGCGGCGACCGGCGGCGACCAGCCGGCGGCGGAGGGCGGCGCTAGCGGCGGCTGAGCGGCTAGGCGGCGGCGCAGCGGCTAAGCGGCGAGAGAGAGAGAGAAAGAGAAGGAGGGGCCTCACCGACGACGATTGACGACGGCGAGCGACGGAGGGCGATGGCGACGGCGGGACGAGCTCCAGGATCACCTAAGGAATCAAAAGGGGGGAGTTAGAGAGGGAGAGGGAAACCATGGATGGTTAGGGCGCCGACCGAAGGCGCCGGCCATGGCGAAGCTCACCGGCGCGCGGTGCGAACGGGGTTCCCGCGGCGGAAAACAGCGGCGGAGAGGCGGACGGCGTGGCCCTCGGGCTTGTGAACTCGACGACGGCAACGGCGCGGCTCGGCGTGGCGGCTAGCGGCTACCAGAGCGGCGGCGGCGGCGGCGGTGAAGAGGAGGGCGACGGCGCTAGGGCGATAGAGGGCACGAGAGAGCTCGGCGAAATGGAGAAAAAGAGAGAGGGGGAGAGCGGGGATGCTTAAATAGGGGAGAGGGGGCTCGGACGTGGCCGGGAGCAGCCCGATTTCACCGGAGTAGTGGGGAGGGGGAGAGAGGGCGTGGCCGATGGGATTCAAAATTGAATCCCGGCCGTTTCGGCGCGGGCGCGGGCGCGGGCGGGAGAGAGAGAGGGAGTGGGCGCGGGGTCGCGGGGAAAGTGGGCGCGGGCGGCGACGTGGGCAACGTGGCCCGAGAGGCGCGGGCGCAAGGAGGCGGCGACGGTTGCGGGATGCGCGGCGGCAGCTGGAGGTTGGGGGAGGACCCGACAGGTGGGCCCCACTTATCGGCGACCCCGGGAGAGAGGAGGGGGCTCGGGCGGCCGGCCCAGCGGGGAGGGGGAGGAGGAAGAGAATGGGCCGGCGGCCCATTCGGAAAAGAAAAAGGGGAAAAAGAAAAAGAAAAAGAAGGAAATGGATTTTCCTGGGATTAAATATTGCTTGTGCTCATTTTTAATTGGTTGCAATTAGTTCTAGAGCTCTGAAAATTGCACTAAAAATCTTGTTAGCATATTTCGATATGTAGAACTCAAGAAAAATTCCACATGCCAATTCCGATTATTATTTGCATTAATTTATTAGGGTTTCTCTCTTGCTTTTACACCGATATTTTCTCTAGGTGATTTATAAATTCAATTTAGGCTTGGGAAAGAACTTTAGGGTGTGACAAACGCGACGCGACGGCACGCGGTGGCACGGGGTGCGAAGAGGCACGACGGCGGTGATTGCGACTGTCCCTCCTCGAGTTCCTCCACGGGATCGATGAGCTGCCGAGCAAGCTCGAGCTCCTGCATGCGGGATCGACGAGCCACCACCGGCGATGCCGCCGCCGCCGTGTCCTTCCTCGTCGACAAGTCAGCGAAGGTCTTCATCGCCGGCCACCGCATCATGGTCGGCTCGGTGGTGCACCGCAAGCTGGACTCGCTGGGGTTCACCAACATCGTGGTCCGGACTCGTGCCGAGCTCGACCTGGCGTGTCTTCTTCGCCGCCGAGCTGCCGCGCTACGTGATCCTGGCGGCGGCGAACATCGGCGGCGTCCACGCCGGCTCCGCTGCACCAGCGGAGTACCTAACGGAGAACCTCCGCATCACTGTCAACGTCGTGGACGCCGCCCGCCGCTGCGGCTCCGCACGCAATCTGCTTGTCCTCGCTAGCTCGACCATCTACCCCGCGGATGCGCCGCAGCCGACGCCTGAGTCGGTGCTGCTCACGGGGCCACCGGCGGACGGAGGTCGAGGCCTCGAGCCTGCGGCCGGTGCGTGCCGCCGTCCTCGCCGCCGCCTCTGGCCCCCGTCCGCGTGCGTGCGCGTCAGAGAGAGAAGAGAGAGCCTGCTGCCGTGCGCGTCAAAGAGAGTGAGATGGGGGAATAGTGGAAGAGGATATGACAGGTGGGTCCCACATTTTTTAATAAATAGAATGCTGACTGGGTTGCCACGCGTACGTCACGTAGACCAAAACTACCGTGGATTGGGTCGAGGGGTGTAATTCGTCCGGTTTACATAGTTGGGGGGTGAAGAATGTCTGGTTTTGTGGTTCAGGGGGGTAATTCGGACGACCGTAATAGTTTGGGGTAATTCGTACTTTTTCCTAATAATATTTCAATATATATCTTCATTATTTTTTATAATATCTTATATACCTTTATAATATCTTATCACTTGGTTTATGTTATTTCTCTCTTCTTTAATTAAGCCATATCACATCAACTGATTCTAGTGTTTATGTAAGTTTATATTGTTTAGCTATCTTATATATTATTTTATTATTATCATACTAAACTCATGCAGCAACACGGGGGGTTTCACCTAGTATCTGTAAGTTTTGCACACCACCCACATTAACTCCATTCTTAGGTGGTCAATGCGTATGTTTCGGTGGTGTTTGGATCAGCGACTAAGTCCATGTCACATCAGATATTTAACACTAATTAGAAATATTAAACATAGTATAATAATAAAACTAATGGCATAAATGAGAGCTAATTCACGAGACAATTTTTTTAAGCCTAATTAATCCATAATTAGCACATGTTTACTATAGCATCACATAGGCTAATTATGGATTAATTAGGCTCAATAGATTCGTCTCGCAAATTAGTTCGGAGTTATGGAATGGATTTTATCAATATACTACGTTTAATATTTTTAATTAGTGTCTAAACATATGATTTGATGGCAACTAAGGGCTTGTTCACTTTGCTACCATTTTCAACCTTACGAAGTTTTGGCATTGCCAAATTTTTGTTAAGATTGCTAAAATTTTGGCAAGGTTGACAAAATTTGGTAAGATTTCATATGTACTTACTAAAATTTAGCAACAAACTAAATGTAGCTATTTTTTTTAATATTTTAAAAAATATAAGGTTGAAAATGGTAGCAAAGTGAAACAGACATGCATCCAAACAGACCCTAGTGGCGCGCCGCCTGCCGGTGGTAGGCGCGTACGTGTCCCTGTGCAGCGCACCGCGCGGCATCAGAAATCCACTAGTATCGGATATTTTTCCTCTGTGCCCATCAGCAATTTCTTGAAAAGAAAAAAAAACTAGTACTCCTAGAAAACATCAGCTCCACTACTTGCTGTCTTGCTGCCGCCACGCTGCTCCTCCCCGCTCCACCGATCGGAGGAACTCAGGCAGCCACCACTTCCTCCCTTCCTTCCTTGCTCAGCTCCGATTTTATCCAACCTATCCATCTATATTTTATCCATCCTTCCTCCGTCACCATCAGCTCCCCGCGCGCGCGTGCATATCCGCAGGGCGCAGGCGATGCTCTGCTCGGCCCGCATGCTGGCCTGCAGCGGCCTCGGCGGCCCCGGGGGGCGGCTCCGGCCGTCGCCGCGGCCGGGGGCCTACGCTGACCGGCTGCGGCCGCCGCTGCCGGCGCGCAGGTGGCGGGTCGCGTCCTCCGCCGCCGCGTCGGGCGGATCCCCCGACCTGCCGTCGTCGTCGTCGTCGTCCTCGCCGCCTCCGACGCCTGCAGCAGCGTCGTTCGGCTCTGGTGATGAGCAGGCCGCCGGCTCCCCGGGGTAAATGCTTTTTCTACGATCAGTAGGTGTTTTTTTTTGGGGGGTTGGTCGTGGGTCAATCACGCTGGATGGCTGAGTGTTCTTGAGCTTGACCCCCCAATATACGCTCAGTACTGTGTTGACCAGCATACAGGGGATTGAGGGGAGAAATAATTCGAATAGATTTAGCATATGCTTCATGGTTGGGACGAATTCTCTGTTGATAGAGTTTGTCTGAATATGGTGGATCTTGCTGATAAAAAACCGAGTACCAGGGTAGCTATATATATATATGATATGCTTGCCTCAGCTTCGCTGTTGATGGAGGATGTCTGAACATGCCGGATCTAGACGATAAAAATTCAAGTAGTTTTTGTAGCCTTTGCTTGGCTCCTTCCGTGTTGGTGCTGGAGTACGACTGAACACGTTAGGTGGATCTAGCTGACAAAACGTTGGTCCCGAACTCTGTCGTTTTGGACCTTTAGAGATGATAACATTTTGGTTTGGTGTTGTATTGCACGGAGCTCATGTTGAGTCATGCCCGGCTTGTTCTCAGGTTTTGTATCATTGAAGGGCCTGAGACAGTCCAGGATTTTGAAAAGCTGGACTTGCAGGAGATTCAGGATAATATTAGGAGCCGCCGGAACAAGATCTTCTTGCATATGGAGGAGGTATGTCGACTTTGTTTTTTCTATGTTACTGTTTTTCATTAAATGGCAATAGTGTAAGCTTGGTATGATCTGATTATCCCTCACAAATAGTTAAAATACAGAAGATAATGTGTAGTCCTTGCTTGGTAATCAGCATATGAGTTCAACTAACGTGGAGATGGCAATCCTCTGAGCTATTACATAGTACTTTTAGATTGTTTACGCAATGATTTCACAGCTTGCGCCGTTGTTAGTTAATCTTTATTCTAGATATTGTGATATTAAACAGGTGTGTTGCAAATCATCAGAGAACTGGAAACACCCGTTAATCCTTTTGAATAAATCTGGCACATCTTCTTTCTGCATGTACTTTAGATTGCTTTCAGTTTGTTATACCTTCTAAAGTTCTTCTGTGCAGTGTCAGATGTGTTTTGTGCTGTATCCTTATTTTTCTATTTTCGTGTACGTAGATTCGCAGGTTGAGAATACAACAAAGAATAAAGAATGTTGAACTTGGGATCTCAGTTGATGTGCCTGAAGGGGAACTTCCTGATTTTCCATCATTCATTCCATTCTTGCCTCCCCTGGTAAGTATATATACTTCTACATCCAGCACCATCTCACATGGTTCATATTTAAGGAGTGTATATATGCTATTGATATTACTTGTTGAATTTGAAGTTCCAAATCAGCTCATTACTAATGGTTCTCTTGCTTTAAACAGAGTGCAGCTAATCTCAAAATCTACTATGCTACGTGTTTCACTTTGATTGCTGGGATAATGGTTTTCGGTGGATTTCTTGCACCAATTGTAAGTTACACTGTCTAGTCCTTGTCACCATTTTTATCATTATTGATTCCATCAATATCCAGTGGATGTTTAACAATTTATTGTACTTTTCTTGCAGCTGGAACTTAAACTCGGTGTGGGAGGAACATCTTATGCAGACTTCATCCGCAGTGTCCATTTGCCGATGCAACTGAGGTATTACAACTATTCCATGTTCTATTGGTGTAGTGAACATCTTTTAACCAGTTCTTGATACCAGGGAAGTTCTGAGATACCGTGTGCTGATCCTTTTCATGATTTTTCTATCTGTACAGTCAGGTAGATCCTATTGTGGCATCGTTCTCAGGTGGAGCAGTTGGAGTTATCTCCGCTCTAATGGTTGTTGAGATCAACAATGTCAAACAGCAGGAGCATAAGCGGTGCAAATATTGTTTAGGAACTGGTACTTATTTCTTCCAATGCTGCTTCAATCCTCGTACCCATAAAATATGAATAAATATCTAAGATTTGCACTTGCTGTTGTGTTTTGGACTTTTGGCAGCGCAGTTCAGTACTTCAATGCAGTACAATTTGTGCTTTAGTAAAATCTCTCCATTATGTAAAGAAAAAGTTTAGTACTTCAATGTAAGAATGCTATACTAGTGTTAGCTCAGTCCAAAGATGCTCACAAGAATCAAAAAATCTCAGAATGAATTCAAAGGTCTGATAGCTTGTAATGCTGTATAATGCGTCTAATTTGTTAGTGCCTAGTTATTAAGCTTGTTTTTATGGACCTGTTACCAAAAAATCTATCCCCTCTAAGAAAATTTTCTTATAGTTGCTCAATTGCTATAGGTTTAATTGTTTAAACTACAGCTTTGCTAGGGTACTGACAGTTGTGGCTTGTAGGATACCTGGCCTGTGCTCGCTGTTCAAGTACCGGAACTCTGGTGCTTACTGAACCGGTTTCAACATTCAGCGATGGTGATCAGCCTTTATCTACGCCAAGAACAGAGAGGTGCCCAAATTGTTCAGGCGCAGGAAAGGTAAATCAGCCTTTTGCACAATGATTCCCAACAACAATGTCATTCAAATAATATACGCATATTTCCACTTGCTATTTTGGATTGAAAAACAGCCCTGATTTCAAACAAAATGTTTGCAGGTGATGTGTCCAACATGTCTCTGCACGGGGATGGCAATGGCAAGTGAGCACGACCCTCGAATTGATCCGTTTGATTAAAATGCACGTCATAGTTCAGAAATTCTTGTACCACTATATAAACTGTTTGTAGATAATAGTATTGACAGGCGCGCCTGGGGTTCCAGGCTTACGAATAGGGCAACACTTCACATCTTAGTGATGTGCGGAGCGAATCGCTTGAATTGAACAGTGGACAATTCAGAGGTGTATGTTGTCAAAGCTGTATCACTGTATCTGTATAGTATGTTTATGGCACCCAACACTAACAGTTCAATTCCACGAATTATTTATCTGCGTTTTGCTTGCTTTTCAATGGTCTTTTGTAGACCTTCGAATGTGTTGGCTTGGTGCACATTTTTTATGATTTAGCCTAGCTGCCCATGATGCTCTAAATGTAGTTACAGTTTATGCGCGACCGGAGAAAACAAGATTATAAGCCGCTACTTAAAAAATATGGGTAAAACTTTTATATGCTCTTTTCATCCCGTTTGAGCATCACCTAAGATTTTTTGTCTTTTCAAAATGATCAGTGTCTGTTTATTTGGTGCAAGTGCCTTCTTATTTATTTGTGCAAAGAGTAAATAAATGAATATTATTGAATACGATGCATGTAACCAATTAAAATTAATTTATATTGGTGCAATTCCGTGCAATATTTAAAATTTGATGTATTTCACGGGACATGAAGCGACGTAGCACTTTGATCGCGAGTATTAATTTAAGAATGATGAATGTTGCGTTGTTCACTTGTATGCTGTTTGTTTAGTGATGATCAAACTGGGAATATTTCTTCAGCGATCTAACGATGAAAAATAAACTATGATTTAAAAGCCAATGATGAAAAATAAGCTATGATAGAAAAACTTTAAAATCAGCTTTAAATTTCAAAATTCAAATTGCAGTAGCGGCTGATAAGCCAAGAAGACTAATCATGGGAGTTCTTCGTTAACTTCTAGTTGGGCCGTCGAGGCAACAGTCGAGTATCCAATAGGAAAAAGTACACCGAAGGTCCCTGAACTTGTCATCGGCATTAAAAAATGTCCTCGAACCGCAAAATCAGATATACAGGTTCCTGAACTGTACGAAACCGGTCGCCCGAGGTCTTTTTGGTGGTTTTTACCCCGGTTTTTGTCTACGTGGCAGCTGAGTCAACATGGGCCCCACATGTCAGCGTGCCACGTCAACTTCCCCTTTCCCCTCTTCTCTCTCCCTTCCTCCCCTCTCTGCTCTCTCTCTCTCTCGCAGGCTGGGCCGACGGGTAGGGAGCAGACGGCCAGGCGGCGAGCGGGGCTGAGCGGCGGCGCACACCTCGCGGATCCTCGCTTCGAGCCTCTTGACCTGCAGGCAAACAGTAAGGAGCAGCAGCAGCACCATCAGCCGGAACTAGCAGGGACGGCGGGATCCGCGAGGACGCCGGATTGGTGGGGACGCGATGCCACACCGACTCCACCTTGATGGTGTCGATGCCGCAGGCAAGCTCCCCCACGACGCCCATGAACTGCGCCGCCCACGGCTCGTTACTCGCAATCGATCTCGCCTACACTTCCCATGTTCTCTGCATCGATCAATCTGACCTTGTGACTGCATGCATTTCTAGCTCCCAGCTACCTGTGTCAAACATTCCATTTGCATGATAATAGCATGCTAGAGCCAGATAACAAGAACAAATTAACCGATACTTGAAGAACTGAGACAAATCATCGCGTGCAAGTTCAACTGGGCCTCTTTAATCTACCCATGACAATACTGTCAGCCAGGGTCAACTAGTGCTTGGGTTCTCCTCCGCTCAGGCCCCGTCGTTCACTGAGCTGCTCATCACTGGGGTGGTGGCGTCGGCGGGCGGTGACGCCATTGGCAACCGCGAGCAGAGTCCAGTCTTCCCAATCTCTGCTCCGAAGGATCTGCATGCTCGAGCTCTTCAGCGCACACCGCGTCTAGTCGCTCCACCACGTCCGCGAGGAAGAGGCGGCGCGCCTCGTCCGCGTCGTCGCCAACAAGTGTGCCATGGGTGGCGTCGGCGTCCTTCTTATACTGCCGCTGCATAATGTCACCGCTGGGGCCATCAGTTGCAGGAGGAGGCGGCGTCTTCTCCAGCTCCTTCGCGGCCGGGGAACCCATCGCCTTCTCTGGCTCCGCCATGGTGTTGCGTACCGTGAGGCCATAGGCGATTTGGGAGGAGGGGTTGTCGGGGGCGGTGGATGTGTCGAGAACGAAGGAGGGGTCGCCGGCGGCGGATGCGGCTTCTCCGCCATCCCGCCCGCCACCTCACCGCACCGCGGCTGCTACTCCCGCGCCCGCCGCCGTTCCTGCTCCCTCCTCTTCTCCACGGCCGACGACCTCCTCAGCCTCCTCGACAACGACAACGATGCCAACCCGTTCCCCGCCGACGACCCCGGCCGCACGCGCCCTAGCGCCGGCATCCCGATGCCCTGCGAGAGCAGAGAGCGAGAGGGAGGGAGGAAGCAGAGAAACAGAGAAAGAGAAGAGGGGAAAGGGGAAGTTGACGCGGCAAGTTGACATGTGGGGCTCACGTGGATCTCATGCTGACTCAGCCGTATACCAAAACCGAAGTCAAAACCAATAAAAGATCTCGGGTGATCGGTTTTGTATAGTTAAGGGACGCATATCTAGTTTTGTGGTTCGGGGACGTTTTTCTATCCCGATAACAAGTTCAGGGACCTTTGGTGTACTTTTTCCGTATCCAATAAGAACCAGCCCACCAACGCCAAGTATCCATGCCCACTCATCTTCTTCCTCCAGGCTCCCGCAGCCTTTCGCACCAGCGCAGCGCGCCTCCTCGCCGCCCCCGGCCACCCTGCGCCGCCGGCCGCCGCCCGCCGGCGCCATACTAAGAGGGAAGAGTGGGTAACTGAGTTCCGACGGCCGGAGGCGGGGCCAGCGGTGGATCCGATTGGCCCCTTCTGGCCTCTGACTCGATCCGGTTGAGATAGTGGTGAGGCGATGGATGCGCTCGTGGCGAACTACGCGTCCGACTCCGACTCCGACGGCGATGCTCCGGCGGCTACCGCGGGCGAAGCCGCCCCGGTGCCTCCGGAACCTTCCGCGTTGCTCCCTCCCCCGCCCCTCGACCTCCTCCAGCCCCCAAACTTCGTAGGCATGATTGATACTTCTTTACCGTACTGAGCCTTTCCTCAATTCTTATTCTGAGGCCCCCCGGTGATGTGTTCTTACTGAAGTTTTGCAGATTGCTCGACAATGGCGCAGGGGAGTCGCGTCCGGAGCTTCCCACATGTGGAAGGCAACTATGCGCTACATGTTTACATCCCTGGTCTGTTTTCTCTCTTTCTTTTCTCTTGATCTTTCTATATCTGTTTGTGCTTAGGTGAATGTAAATTATTGGTCGTTTATCGCTGGTTGCATGTTACCGCAAGGTTAGTTGCTTTTCCATGTGAATAGGCATGCTTATATTGCTTAACACCACGATCAGATGTGTAGGAGTAGGATCTATTGCCTAGCCCTACCTATCTGGTTTCATGGGTTTTCCTTAGGAAACAGGATGCATTCTGAGGACATTACTGCATGTTTGCACAGTACATATACTGATATACCGAAATAAGCATGCACCTTGCCAACATTAAGCGACGAAGGGCACTTTCTATATGTTGCTGTTGCTGAACTGATTTTTCAGCATGTTCATCATCCTAAGTTGTAGAATTAGTAACATAGCAAAATTTTAGTAACATCATTTTCCCTTATTCTGTCATTTATATAGTGTAAGGGGGAATGCCGTTGATTCAGTTCAGTATCATGGTTTCTTTTTTTATTGTATTGAATTGAACAGAAAACGGGTAGAAGGATTCACTTTCTCACTGTTGGACATGTAAAATTTTACGTCCTGAAAGGCCCTTGCTCTTACATATAGATCTCTCTCGTGCAGTTGTCATACCTTCTGATGCAAAGAAACACCTGGTCCTTGTTATGAGAAGAGCCGCGTCTTTTGTGCCGGATCTCTATGCCATCGATGCAGATTATGCACTTTCCGAGTTGTGCAAGGATGAACAAAAGCTTGAGAAAGTGCTTCTGAGCAGGGAGTTTCATGTAAGTTTAGGAAGAACTGTTGCAATTCAGGTGCATCAAATTGAGTCCCTTGTCGCAATGCTTCGGCAAAAGTTCCGCTCACAGCAACGGTTAGTCATCTCTTATACCTTTATTGCTGAGTTCTTACTATTTAACTCCTTTCAGTGGACAGACTATGTGTACTTGTCTACAGATTATACTTGCTTTATGTACCTATTTGGGTATAATAATTTTTTGCACTGATAGAATTGACTATATATTAATCAGGTATTGGATGGACTTCAACAAATGGGAGCATTTTGTCAATGATGATTGTACACGGTCATTTCTTTCGCTAGAAGTTACAAGTACTGGGTTGCCAGAGGTGCTTAATACTATCTACCTAGTGTCCTAGCATCTTTAGGCATTGTATGGATCTTTTTACTAAGTCTGATAATAAAAATACCATATAATATATGTTCTTATATGTCATTAATGAAATGCACTATTAACTTACTGTTTGTTAAACTTTTGCAGATTAGTAAACAGATAACGATGGTAGATGATGTATATCGATTACATGGGCTTCCTGAATTCTATAAGGTAATATATTCTTTAGCAATGTTTGTGCTGGTGTTCTGCATATTTTACTTGATGGGTACCACATCACACATATTTTATGGTTTAATTTCAAAACATGCGAGCAACATAATTGCAACCTAAAACAGAAATCTAATACACTGCTGCAATATAAGGGGAGGGCGGTAGTGTACTATAATTTTGTTTGGTTTGGAACATCTGTCTGACAGAATCAGTCACTGGCTGATTAGAATGATTATAGTGTCCCACCCAGAGTATCACTAATTCATTATCATCTGTAGCATCACCACATTTGTGCAAAATTATTTAACTAGTGTCTTGAACTTATGGCAGAATCCACGGCCACATATATCACTGGCGTGGGCATTGGGTGATGTTAGCTGCAAACTGAAACAAGCAATTAAGGAGATCGAAAAATCTCAGAGCAGTCTGGGCACATCTCAAATATCTAATCTGAGATGCAAGTTTAGTCATGTAGTGTGTAAAATAGGCAAGAAGGTGTATGATATCTGTAAACTTGCAGACTGAGAGATAAATTTCTTGTGCACTTGACCGTTGAGTTCTGGGGTTGCAACAGAGATATACAAATGAGCATGAAAACAGAGTGGAAGTAACTTGGAAAAACTACAATATTATTCATTTGGTTGAGAGTTAAAACTTCTTGCCAGCATGCTTCTGATCAATGGTTGTATATCTTTTGATGTACAGCAAGATAGTGTGCAGGCTTTCCATTCCAAGAAAGGAATGATGGCCAAAATGATCACAAATTCACAATGATTAAATGACTGCATGAGGTAAAACAAAATCTAGAACAAAAAGGAAGTCTCTCTAAGAGCAACTTTAATAGTATAGCCCACTACTAGCTCCAATTCATCTATAGCCAATCTAATAGCCAGTTCATACAATAGTTGCTTACTATATACTATTAATATATGGTCCCACCTGTCATACACACATTGCATTTTGGAGTCCGTGCTATAGCTGGCTACAAATCTGTAGCCCGCTGCTCCTCTCTCATCTTTTATCTCATTAAAATATGTTTATAGCTGGTTAATAGCCTGCTATTGTACCTGCTCTAGATGAATTGGAGATGAAAGATGAGAGAGAAGAGCAGCGAGCTACAGATTTGTAGCCAGCTGCAGCACGGACTCCAAGATGCAATGTGCGTATGACAGGTGGGGCCATATATTAATAGTGTATAGTAAGCAACTATTGTATGAATTGGCTATTAGATTGGCTATAGATGAATTGTAGCTAGTAGTGGGCTATACTATTAAACTTGCTCTAAAAGGTGCCTTTAGTTAGAATTCCTTGTAAAATCTAGTGACAACCAACACTGTACCAGATTGTGCCAATATATTACCGAATGAAGATTTTGAATTACAAAATTGAGGTGATTCCTCAACAGATTCTCATGCCTCCCATCCCCTCAACAGAGTAGCCTTTGCAACCCGGTTAACCCCCAAAGTGAATGCCCCCATCCTAAGGTTGCAGTTTTGGGATTTGCACATGTCCTTGATGTTCTGAAAAGCGTTCTTCATGTACTTTTGGAGCTCCCTGTTCACCTTCTCTTCATCCCACATGAAGCCCTGAATGTTCTGCACCATAGGCGTAGCACAAACATATGCCATTAGATTCATGGGAAAGATCCAAAGAAGGCACAAAATCTTCTGTTCTATTACCTGAACCCACTCAAAATAGCTGACGACCACGCCGCCTGAATTTGCATAGATATCTGGCAGCACAATGACTCCCTTCTTTGCGAGTATCTTCAAGGCAGAGAGTAAGCTCAAAAGATTAGAATTATAAATAAATTATCATTCTTGATGTCTTGAGGATATTCATGTTCCTTGAAGGAGAGAGAGAGAGAGAGAGAGAGAGAGCTCATTGTGGTTTTGAGCTTACCTCATCAGCTTCTGTATCAGTGGGATGATTAGCCCCCTCAATTATGAATCTGGCCTTCACTTCAGCTGCATTTTCTCTGCAGATAACTCATGTGAATTAGCAATTCTGCAACATGCAGCTAGACTAAGGTAGAAAACTAAAACAGAAAACTCCACAATACACAGCTAACAATTTTTGGTATCATGACACCGCACACACTACCAAATACCAAGGTGCCAATATTTATATGAATGGAAACACAGGAAAATATAAAGCAAATCTCATTTGCAGTTTACAAACCTAGAAACTACCATAGGATAAAAAAAAACTGACGTCTAAGATTTGTCCTCATCACCCCGAGTAAAACTTTTACTCTCAGATTTAATAATAAGTAAAAAGTTTTATTGGGAGTAAATGCTTTACTCAGGATATCTTAGACGGTTTATTTTTAATTGGATCCTACGTTAGTTTTTAGGTTTGCGCTACATATGAAATTTGTACTACATATTTCTTTGGAAACACTACGGCCTAATAATGAGATATTGGAAACCAGGTGAAAATGTAGCAAAAACATCAATCAAATTACCATAATACGAGATTCTTTTATCAAATGCAGCAATGCGCCGTTCTTACCTGTTGAGAACACCACCCAAGGCGCACGGGACGAGAACATCACATTCATGCACAAGCAGCTCTGCAGCGTCCATAACTTCTGCACCGTAGAAGTCCTCCAAAGATCCACCCTCGCTCCTGTGCTTCAAGAGAGCAGGTATGTCTATCCCGGATTTATTTCTGATTGCACCTGTTACATCTCCAACTGCAACTATCTTGCCACCTTTCTGATGGATGAGCTTGGCTGCCCAAGAACCAACATTCCCCAAACCCTGCAGAAAAGATTAGTAGTTGATCAAGTACAAAGTTATACAATTTTTGGCATCCTAATATTAACATATTGTTAAGTCAATCAATAATGTTGTCATTGTTACCTGGATAACAAAGGTTGATCCTGAAATTGACTCGCTGTATTCAGTCAATAAAGCCTCAGTAGCATACATAACACCGCGGCCAGTCGCAGCATCTCTTCCTAAGGATCCTCCAAGATCCTATATCAAATAAGACAATAAGTAAAGTTAATGATAAAATATGAAGAGTTTGTCTAGATGAAATAGGTTTTTCATGACTCATGTAAACTCACAATTGGCTTTCCCGTGACAACAGCTGGGGAGTGGCCATGGAACTTTGAGTATTCATCTAGTATCCATGCCATGGTCTGTGACAGTTGAAAATAAAATTTTCAGAAACATGTAAAGAAGAAGCAGAGTATGAAGACAGCAGATGATAAATTATAAGGCAGATGGAATTGGATGACTCACCTGTGCATTTGTTCCCATGTCAGGGGCTGGAACATCTGTATTGATCCCAATGAGGTCATGAATTTTCTGGGTAAACACGCGCGTTAAACGCTCAAGTTCACTTCTACTCAGTTCACCAGGAGTGCACCCAATGCCTCCCTTTGCTCCACCATAAGGCACAGCAGCAACAGCAGTCTTCCATGTCATCAGCTGAGCAAGTGCATTCACTTCATCTGGGTCAACCTGTCCAGGGAGAAACCTTGATGGTTACAATACTAATCGATCCTTCTAAAGACCTACTCTTTTGGAACGCAAGAAATTTTGTAGTTTCTAAAGGAATTGGCAGAAAAACATCATCTCCTCACCTCAGGGTGATACCTGATGCCGCCTTTCATCGGGCCACGGGAATTGTCATGCTGCACTCTGAACCCAACAAACGTCGCCAAGGTGCCATCGTCTTTGGGGATGGTGCATTCAACCTGAACACACAAATGCCAATGGTTCAGTGAAGCCGATGTGAACCACTGAATCAAGCATCAAATTGCGAGAAACAGAGAAGCAGGAAATCACACAAATCACACAGAGCATCTATCAATCAATCTATGCAATGCAAGCAGGGAATCGGGTACCTTGATCTCGCGGAGAGGGATCAGAAGGCTCTTCTGGAGTTTGGAGTCGAGGCCGAGTAGCCTCGCCGCCTGCCGGAAGTTGCGGCTGGTGGCGGCTAGCGCGTTCATGGCAGCACCGGAGATCGCCCTCTTTTTCTCACAGAATTGCACGAGGATTCGACGGAAAACAAGCACAAGAACGACGAGAAGCTCACGAGACGGAAATTTGGCGAACCAAAGGCGTGATTTTCATCTCTGGAATCCGAAGGCATTAATAGCTGAGTGACTTTGAAAGCGTGCCGGGAACAAACAGGAACTCTTTCGAGAATACAAACAGGAACTCTATTAGGCTCGGTGACACGGCATTGCACCGCTGGTTAGAGCCTAATAGAATTATTCATCAAGAAAGTTATTCTGCAAGGGAATCGTTGAAAGTAGAGAGTTTGTCGAAGAAGAAAGGGTGTTTTGATGCTATCTTTCTGCATTATTTTCTTCAGTTCAGTTGGCTGGTGGATCGAACTGCTCGAGTCATATACTAGTACGAGTCAAGAATTCTCGACGTTACACAAGCAGGACATCTGTGGAGGCACAAAGCACGTAACAAGTCCCGGGGATTTCCAATTGGATCTGCAGTTCTGCACGATATCGAGAAGGCACTAAACTGTTTTCGGACACGTTTTTAATCAAGTAGCCAAAGTGTTTTTTGCTCAGCGCAGAGCTTAGAGGTCTTGGACCGGCGTCTCGGTTGAAAAAAGAAGCGTTTTGAAAGCATGGACCTTTGAACGTCTGTTCTCTCAGTTCTCAGTTGTCACAAAATTTCCAGGCTTTGCACCGTGCAAACACAAGCTAAAACGTGAAGCTCACCAACGTGTGATTGCATGGTTGAACGGTGGTAGCTGCAACCAGCGTTTACCTTACCGCCGGTAACCGCGCGGTTACCGGGCTTACCGCGGGGTACGGTAATATAAATACCACGGTAACCTCCTTATATTCAAATAAATTTTAAAAATAATTTGATTTTTTGATAAATTTTGCACGGTTTTTCGCGGTTACCGCGGTTACCGCGCGGTAACCGTGCTTACCGCCGGGGCGTGGTAACCCCGGCACTGGCGGTTTGGGAAACCCTGGCTGCAACTAGCCTGAGACGCGATCTCCCAAATACCCAGGACACTGAAACGTCAATGGATTTCGCAAAGCACAGAGCTAGTTAGTCAAATGAGGACTAGTACTGCAACCAGAATGTAGAAGAAGCAGACAAAACAATCGCCAACTGGGTATTTGTAAAAGCAGTACAACCAAATGTCAACCATCCATTGTGCCATTGTGCAGCTCAAGAACAGATCATCTCATGGTTCAGTATACGAGCTTCAGGGTCATCCATTCGTGCATCTGGCCTAGGAACTCAAGGAAGCCCTGGAACTCTAAGCAATTAAAAAAAATTCCCCTATTCTCAGGCCTTGCAGGTTTTTCTACAATTTCTATTCAGTCCTTTGAGCATCTATAGCTGAGCAAAATTCCAGGCAGCACAGTATGGCGGTGCAGACACATTTTCCTCTCCACAGATAAGAAGCAGCGCTGCATTCCCTAAATTAAGAAAACACATAAGTAACTTGTATACGTAATTTCCAGTTAGGATATAGATGCTGATCAACTAGTAACTTATATACCGATGTGCCTTTCCATATACTTACCAAGGATATGCAACCTCCCTACAAAAACCGTAAGGCTCAGTTACAAGATCGTACATAGTATGAAGTATGAACCGAGAATCTTCGGTCAGGACATAGGGACATAAAAAATAAGGCACATCTTCATGCTTCCATCGCTACAGTTCTAACGGTGCCTAGATCACCACAAAACATGGTAGCAATTAATCCCAGTTTCAACATTTGAGCAATCAACACTTCAATATCAGTCGCATAGCCTGACAGTGAATAATTTATTCACATCAACATTCCTGAGCTTACCATCCTCCAAAAATTCAGGTGATTTTCTTCTTGAGAAGCCAAAAAAATCAGATATGGATGAAACTTGAGTCCGCATGCCTACTTTTCCGCAAACAACATAAAAAAGGACAACAAAGTTTAGTCTTAGATGAATCAAACTGACATTTTAATCTCAAAAGAATCAAATTGCATTTTAGTCTCATAAGAATCAAATTACCAGATTTAGCTGTAAGTTTACTGTTAGTGAGAATGGAGAATCTTCACAAACATGTCTTTGAGCTCCCTATGTGATGTCATTGCTTCCAATATCTTGTCATTGAATATCACTTCTTGAGACAAGTTGAATCCTGCAGCATGGGGTTCTTTTGAAAATAGCAGTTTGGACATATGATCCTTCTTAGCTTGCCTATCATATTTGTCCTTCTCCTTTGTCCCTTCTGTGATTAGATTGTATGTATACACAATCTTCTCTTGACCAATTCTATAAGCTCGGCCAATCGCCTGCCTTCCAACTGAAGGGTTCCATACAACATCAAGGAGAACCACACGTGATGCCCCGATAAGTGTAATGCCTTCACAGCATGCCTTCGTTGATGCAAGCATTACCTTGGCATTGCTTTTCATGTCATTGAAGGCCTCCATCAAAGCTTCTCGATTTTGAACAAGGACATTTCCACTCATCAGTAGGATCTCCTCACCTTCTATCCAATTGAACATTTTACTAAGTTGGTCCATGATCAGAGATAGTGGTTCAAGATATTGACTGAAAACAAGTACTCGCTCTTTCATGGCTTCACACAAACGGACAATTTCCAAAACAAATTTTGTTTTGACTCCTACGCACGGGTTTGGCCGTAAGCTCTTCAGCAAAGAGACATCCACAGAAGATGTTTCTTTTTCCGACAGTTTTGCACATGTGACGAGGAACGGGTGTATAGATGCAAGGGAGATCTTGTATTCTGCATCAAGAGTCCCCATTGTCACTGTGTTCTCCATTGCTGTGATGATTTCCTTTTGATGAGGAAGAGGATTCAGAATCACAACTGATTCTCTCAATCCTGGAAGAGACTTTTGAAGAATGTCACCGTTATGGATGTGCACAATTGGATCGAGTATTTGCCGGATTTCATCTATCTTTTTCTCTGTTATGTTATTCAGTGTCAAGGATGTCCAGTAATCCTCAAGGCCTATTTTCTTGAAACTTTTAGAAGCGAAGTGTCTTGCAAACTTTGGTCTAATCAGGTACAGGACATTAGAGAGCTCAAGAAAGCTATTCTGAAATGGAGTACCAGATAGAATTATTCGCTTTTTGGTGCGAACTTCTTCAAGAACCTTCCATATGAGACTTTTCTTGTTCCTTGGTGTGTGCCCTTCATCAAGGACCAACAAGTCGGGCATCTCAAGGAGCAGATTCCTCACCATGTTCCCATCCATGCTGCTCTGGTTCGCTAGTTTCCTGAAAAGCGTATAGCTCACACCAATTATACTGCTCCCTTTACGCCATGATGCCAACTTCAACTTTCGCCTAAATTTGTGATCCAATTTGTTTCTAGCCAAACTTTGGGCCAAATTTTCATCCATGATAGCCAGCTGTTTGATGGTCCTGTCTTCTTTCCAGTTAATCTCCTTGGAGTTCAATACATGAAAAGGGACCTTCACCTTCCATTTTCTGAACTCCTGTTCCCATGTAGCAAGCATCCCTCTGGGAGCAATTATCACTGGACAGCACTCGGGAAAAAACGCAAAGTAGGATTGAACAAATGTGATTGCTAGTCTGGTCTTCCCTGTCCCTGGTGCATGAGAAATCACACAGCCACCTTCAATAGTGTTTGCATTGTTCCTCAGCTGTTCAATTGAAGTCCCCCCTGCTAGTTTTCTCCACATGAACTCAAAACCTTCTTGCTGGTGCGGGAACATGTCCTCCCGGACCCCAGGAACTAGATCCCAAACCAGGCCAGTCTTTTTACCACCAAAATCACGTGGTCCTTCATATCCCGCTGATGTTAGGATATCATCAAAAAACAAGTCTAACTCGTGATCTTTTCTCATGTCCCTTTCAGTACAGGACTTTACCTATTGAATGAGAAAAAAAAGAAAACATATATAATTTTTTGCAAGATAATAGATGATTAATCAGAAGAAAGGCAAAAGCATCAGTCAGGTGAAGTATAAGGTCTTTGGGAAACATGTTGGAGTGTACGGTAGTAGCTTACCATGGAGGGAAGTACGAATCTGATTTCAAGATCAACAAAGTTGCAGTGCTTGCATCGAAGTCCTATTTGCTCATCAATAATGAGCTCATGCTTCCCTTGGATGCATGAAGCTGCTTTGTCCGCAGGGATTTCTTGCTCATCTTCCTTTTCACCCTGAAAACAACGATATGAGCATCACTTTTGTATTTAGATTTTTTTACTGGAGATAAAAAAACACAGAATTTCCAAAAGAGGTTTACATTTGAATGCATACAAAAGTTAATGTTTGTCCTAACATGCTGAGAGGACAAACAAGGCAACTCAGACCTCCCTATAGGGAGGCTTTACAAACTTATTCTGACAACCACTTCCTGAGGCTGATGGATATCCACAAAGAACATTAAGCTAACTCGTGTATTAGCAAGGGCTATTGATGATGCATTTATTTTGCATACTTATATGCATATAAAATTTTACTACAAATTAAATGATACTACAGCTATGAATAATCTTGTGAGGCAGCAAGACTAACTTTCTTTTTAAATATATATTCTTTCTTTTTTCTTTTTTTTTGAAACCGAGCAAGCAATTGCTGGTGTTATATTAAGAAAAGGCAGCAATATTTACAATGGTGCAAGTAAGCAGTTGCACTTAGAAAGGGAAACAAAGCAAGAAAAATGGGACTGCGACTGCGCCATACATATATATTCTTATGCAAACAAACCTTTTGTTTCTTAATTACTCTTTGTTTTGAATTTTTATGTACATAAATATCTATTCATACACAAAAGACAAAACAGTTTATTGTTCTATAAATTAATGATCAATAGTCAGGTTTGGAGCAGGCTGATTTAATTTCAATAATAGTTTCAGAATCCAAAACTAGTCATTAGACACATTTACTTGGCTTATATAAGATATATATAGAATCCATCCTAGCTATTATTCCTGATTAAATAATAAACCTCACATTAAAGCCATTCAAGAAACACAAAAGTCAGGGCTGATAGCGCACTTCTATTGACATAATTAGAATTATCATTTTAGATAATAAGTATAATTCTAACTATATTTGCGTAGCAGAGAGCACGATGTACCTCCTCGCAGTTGTGAGAACAAACATTTATGGATTCCAAAGCAAAATCAAATTCTTTCCACAGTTCATCTTCATCCTGTAACTTGTCATGTTTGGATTTCTCTTCCAGCTTATCGTCATCCCCAAATGCGAATACCAGGGGCAATCTCCTGTCAATTTGCTCTTCAGGAACAGGCTCATATTGGTTGCTCTCTATTTCATTAAACATGGGGTCGAGCAAATGACCATACTTTTCTTGGTCTGCCGTTGCTTGCCTGCGCTTCCTCCTCTGAGCAATCTTTACATTTCTCTTGAAGGATACACCACCCTGTCCATTGAGCCCATTTGTTTGTCTCCCAACTTTTGGTCCATTGTTTCTGACGCATTGTGGAGTGGAGCCATCCTTTTTCTTGTTGGAACCCTCCTTCTTAACCTGCCTACGAGGTGCTCCTTCTTGTACCCTCCTAGAACCTGATCCTTCCTTGACATCACATACAAATGTTGTATCCTCCTCGCTATCACTATGGGCACTTTGCCTCCTGTTCAATTTCCTCCTCTTCACAGCTCTATGCTCCTCATTGCCATCGCTGCCGCCATCGTCATCCGCACAATCCCCACCGTACGCCGACTGCTCCGGCTGTGGCACATCCTCCTCCGACCCCGAGCTAGACACATCGATACAATAAGGCTTCGCGAACGTCCCACGCTTGAGCAGTTTCTTGTCCAGGAGTTTCTTGCGTTTGAAATTTGATCGTGTGCGAGCTCTGATATCCCTGCCAGTCGAGGTGTCCACCTGTTGTAGAAAACTAAATCCCTCAAACATCCTCTTTCCCATCAGCGGCATTGCCATGATTCTTGATCGGGGAGGAGATTCCTCACCGGCCTCACCCGGTTGATCAGGTGCATCACCCGGTTCCTCCTCCTCCTCGTCATCATCATCATCATCTTCTTCTTCCTCCTCCTCCTCCTCCTCCTCCTCCAATTCCTCTTCATCCCCTTCCTCATCGCTGAAGTTCTCATCGCTATCATCACTGGTTTCATCTTCATCCGTACCCAATTCCTCCTCCTCTATCTCCGCAACATCGTCCGTACCTCCACCTTCTCCCCTGATTCCACCATTGCCATGATCGTTGTCATCTGAACGAACCTCCACCTCCACCTCCATCTCCATCTCCTCCTCACCTTCTTCTTCGTCCTCCTCTTGTTCCTCCACTTGTTCTTCCTTCACTTGTGCAAAAGCTCTCCCCTGCTCTTCTTCTTCCTCCTCCTCCTCTCGTTCCTCCACTTGTTCTTCTTCCTCTTGTGCAAAAGCTCTCCCCTGCTCTGCCAAGCGTGACCGAGTTCTCGAACCAACACCCGTGCTCACCCGGTTCACCGGAGTAGCGCGACCACGAACAGCGCCCTTGCTTCTCTGGCGACCTCTCCCAGGCCCTCTACCTTTTCCCCTGCCGACGGAGGGAGCACCATTGGACGGAGCAGCGGGTGTGGAAGTCTCGCGAACAACCACCCGCCGCCCTTTGCCTCTGCTTGGGGTTTTCTTTCCCCGTTTCCCCTGCTTCGCGTCGGCGGCCGGCACGACCGCACGGCCACCGGCCACATTGCCGTCGGAATCGCTCCCGGAATACGGCTCCTCCTTGATTTGAACGGGCACACGGCTCTCCTGGGCTCTGCTTGGGGCTTCTCTTCCTCCTCGCTTCCTCTGCTTCGCGGCGGCGGCGACCGGCGAGCGCGCACGCGCACGACCTCCCGCACCATTACCGTCGGAATTCGGCTCCTCCTTGACGCGGACAACCTCCCGGCTCTCCTGGGCTCTGCTTGGAGCTTCCTTTCCTCGTTTCCTCTTCTTCTTCTTCGCGGCGGTGGCGGCGACCGGCGCCCGCGCCCGCGCACGCGCACGACCTCTCGCACCATTGTAGTCCGAGTCGCTTCCGGAACGCGGCTCCTCCTTGACGCGCACCACGCCCCTGTCGCTCCCGCTGTCGACGTCGATGATCTCTAGCGAGGGGCTACGTGCACGGGCACGGGCACGGCGGGCCGTAGGCCGCCGCGAGGACTCCGCGCGCGGGCGGGCGGCGCGGGGGCTCCGCGACCGCGACCGCGACCGTCTCCGTCTCCGCCGGCTAGCAACCACCGGCGCCGCGCGCCGCCCAGAACCCCGCGGAGCCTCCTCCCCCACGCGCTCCGCCGCCCGCGCGCGCCCCCGGCCCGTGATCATCAGCGAGCGGCGCACCTCCTGCAGGTCGAGATCGTCCTCGCTGCTGTCGAGGATGATGAGCACGCGCTCCGGGGGGGACGCCGGCTCGTACACCTCGACCTCGTCCTCGACCCCCTTCCCCTTCCCCTTCCGGCGGGGCATCTCATCGGCGGCGGCAGGCGAAGCGGCGGGGGGCGCGACCGCGCGAGGACGCGAGCGATGTGGGTTTTTCGGGGCGGTGTTCTACTCTGCTCCGCGTTGGAGATGGGTTTTTGTTTGTTTTACGATATGCACGGGAAGGAGGAGCGCGCATAGGTGGGGAAGGCATTTTCGACATACCAGAACGGGAAAAGGGAGGGGGGGGGGGGGGTCGGGATCGTGGGGCCCACCCGTCATGGACACGTCGGGTGAACCCCGCCGGTGAAGGAAGTACGCGGGCGCTCACCGGTGCAAGGCAAGTAACGGAAGGTGGGGCCCACGAGTCAGCGCCCGATGGTTCAGGTTCAGGGTCGGGTCAGGTCAGGTCAGGTCTCCCCCGGGTCGTCGTCGATCGGGGGATGGATGTCAGTGAGGGCGAACGCACGAAACAGCCGTGACAAAAAAATGTGTGAGGCGTTTGTTGGAAAAGACCAAAGCTCTTTTATTACTCGTGCTGCACTATTGCACTGTTTAGTTCGAGGGGTTGAAAAGTATCATATTGATATACGTACATACATTTAAAGTATTAAACGTAAAGTAATAACAAAACATATTCTATCTATAAACTATGAGACAAATTTATTAAACCTAATTAATTTATCATTAGCAAATATTTACTGTAGCACCATATTGTTAAATCAAGAAGCAATTAAGCTTAAAAGATTTGTTTCGTAATTTACACGCAATGAAAAGTTTTTACGTAGAAACTACAAAGGGCCTACATATGCATGTGCTGTTTGCCCCAAACCGTCATTCGTAGGTAACCAACGTAGGGGGGGTTGGGTGGTGCTCAGCACTTCAGCAGTCAGAGCAAGTTTAATAGCGTAGCCAACTATTAGCTCTAATTCATCTATAGCCAATCTAATAGCTTATTCATATAATAGTTACATATTACACTATTAATATCTGGTCCCACCTGTCATACACACACTTCTTCTTAAAGTCCGTGCTACAGCTGGCTACAAATCTGTAGCCCGCTGATTTTCTCTTTCCTCATTTATCTTCTTAAAATATGTTTGCAGTTGGCTTATAGGCTGCTATTGTACCTGCTCTCAGCAGCCAGTTCAACCTTCCCCGATGAAGATCCTCTGAAAGTACTAGCTGGCCCAATGAATGATACTCCTACATCTCCTACTCCTATCTGGTCATGGACGACACACAGGCCAAAGAGCCAGCCATCATCATTGGCTTCAAGAACAAAGAGGTTGGTAGCGGTAACAGTTAATCCTAGTGTTAAGGATCAAGCTAAGTGCCAGCATTTTTATGCGTTTTCATATACAACTGGAACTTTACTGAGTACAGGTATGATGGCTGATCTTTATTTTGTCATGTATTCTAGGATTCTAATTATGTACAACTTTGTTAGGTGATTCATTTAATATTTAGACTGTACACAGCCACAGAGATTTGGAAAGTTTGACTTTTAGGAATTTCGGATTGTTCTAAACCAAACTTGTGAAGGCTGATTTCACCCAGCAAACCAAAGAGCTATAATCCAGGAATGATTGTTTCCACAACATGGAGATGAACTGACCAAATCAGGGTTTACAAAACCGTTTAAAGCAAGGAATGCAAAACTCCGCAAAATAATAAAATCTGTGAAATACCGAGTGGCATGCGCGAAAAATAACAACAAAATAGTATAAATCAATATTTGAATCCTTGTGACCAATTTTGAGTGAACGAAGAATGGATTTCGACCAAGAAAACATTTTGACCTTTGCTATGATTTGGACACCCCCAATTGAAACATTTTGACCTTTGCTATGATTTGGACACCTCCAATTGAAACAACACAATTGATAGTTATGCAATTATGTAACATATGTATAGAATTAAAATTATTATGACAATGGTTGAAAAAGTTTAAAGTCCATGCCATCATCAACACAATATTATAATGTCTAACAAACATGAAGCAATATAATATAATATAATATAATATAATATGACAACAGAATACTCACTCCATCCAAAATAAGTTCATTTTTCACCTCTCCCATTTATCCCAAAATAATTTCACTTCTTTTTCTTTACCTACTCTTGGTCCACAAATTGATGAGTCTTATTCCTTCAATACCACTTACCTATCTTTATATACATACCCACTAATACTACTTTTCATATTGATGAGGGACACTTTGATCTTTTTCACTTTATTTGAGTACGTATGGTTAAAAATGAAGATATTTTTGAGACGGATGTAGTATTATAATGGCTATGACATCAGGAATATAATAGTAAAAAAATATTTGATATAACAACATATATCATGGGGGAATATCCAGTAAAAACCTCGTACAAGTGAAAACCCGTGAACAACCGAACCTAAAATTTTATAAATTCATGGAAAAAAATACTGGAGATAGCCAGATAGGTATAGGCATGAGATACATTTCCACCAAATCTTAATTTCAAACTCAACTTCTTTTGGGGGGTGAATAGTGCCTTGGTTTTCACCAGATATTTCTCTATATAACATACTATTGTCTTTTTGCCTTTTTCTTTTTAGAAAATATTTGATTATGTTGAAGTGCCAAAATTCACATAAATCTACTTTTAAAACATATTTTGATGCCTCATAGGATTACCATGATCAATGTTTATAGGATTTTTCTCAATTTTTTTTATATTCTTCAAGTCAAATTCAAAACTTGCAAATTATACTAAAGTATTGTAGCGCCCGTTCCGTCGTGGCGCCTAGCGGGAAAAATTATCTCTTAAAAACCCTAATTGCGAAATTTGTTTCTCTGATTGCTGTCTAGTGTCCGTGCCATCTCAAGATCTCAATCCCCGATCTATCGTCGAGTTCAATTCCGAATCCAATCCCTCCAAATCAAATTTCTCCGCAAAAGTCTAGTTTGCCTCCTCCGGGTTCGATGGGCCGATTTCCGCTCGGCCCATCTCTCCCCCGGCCCCCTCTCCCCGGGCGCTCTCTCTCTCTCTCTCGCGCTCTCCCCCCCCGCTCAGCCTCGCCCGCACGCCGCGCGCGCGTGCGCGTGAGCCGCCGCGCCGAGCGCTCCCTCCCTCCCTCTCTCTCTCTCTCTCTCGCTTTCCCCGGCGCGTTTCCCCCCCCCCCGCTCGCTGCTCGCGCGTGCGAGAGCCGCGCCGAGCGCCCCCTCCTCTCGCGCGAGCTCCCCGCTCGCAAAGCCGGCGCCGCGCGCCGTCGCTCGCGCGCGCGCCCGCGTGGTTTCCCGCCCGAGCCGCGTCGTCTGCGCCGTCCGCGTCGCCCGGTCCCGCTACCCAGCCGCGCCGCCCGTTGTTTCCCGCGCGCGCGTGCCGAGTGGCCGACCGCCCGGTCGCCGCCGCCGTCACCCTCTGCCGCGCCAGCCCGCGCCTGTCGCCCGTGTCGTCGCGCCGCTCCAAACCGCCCCGCCGTCATCGCCGTCGTCATCGCCCGGCCCCCGCCACTCCGCGCGCTAGCCTCCAAGGGGCGGAGGCAGAGAGCCCCTCTCCCTCTGCCGAGTCGCCCCGCTCCCTCCTCCTTTTCCCGAATCGGCAAAGGGGCGAGCCCCTTTCTCTCCCTCCTTTTCCTCTTTTTCTCCCCTTTTTCCCCTCTCGCCAGCGTCACCTCCTGTCGCCGCTTTGGACGCTAGCCGGAGCGCCAGCTCGCCGGCTTGACCGCCCATGTCGGTTCCCCTCTCTCAAACCGACATTGCCACCCTTTTAAACCCGTCTTCCCCCTCCCTTCCTTTCCTCTCCCATTCGCCTCCTCACCGTTGTCGCCGCTCCCGTGCTCTGCCTTGCCTCCGCCGTCCATCGCCAAGCGCCGGGAGAGCCGGTGCGTTCGTGGACGCGGAAAGGGACTCCGGGGGCGCCCCCTTCTTCCTCTTCCTCGGCCCGAGGCCGGAGAGATCACTCCCGCGCCGTCGGCCTCTCGTCACTGCGCCCCGTCCCGCACGGTAGTGCCTCTCTCCGTTCTTCCTCCTCGCTCCATCTCCTCCCCCTAGCTTTCGGTAGTAGCTTGAGTAGACTCCCCGTAGTTAGCCGGCGCCGCCCCGACCGTTGCCGTCGCTCGCCGTGTGCTCGCCGCCGTCGCCGCCCGAGCTCCGTAGCACCCGCTCGTCGCCGGCCTCGCTCGGCGTAGTTCCGTCCAATCCGACGCTAGCGTCGAGTTCCCGACGCCGCGTAGATGCTCTCACCGCCGGGAATCGACCCCTCGTAGCTTCGTCACCGTTTTCCCCTTCTCCCGCCGCCGGTTGCCGCCGCCGCAATCCGCCGCCGTCGAGCAACCTCCGGCGAATCCGAGCCGTTGGTTCGTCTCCCCTCGTCACGAACAACCGCCCGGTGTGCTCGCTTTGCCCGTATCACCGTGGTTCGCTCCGCCGCTCGCCGCCGCCGCCCGCCGTCCTTTCGCGGCCGGATCGTCGTCTACCTCCCGCCAGCCCACGTGGCAGCCACGTAGGCGCCACGTCGGCGCCAGCTCAGCCAGACCGGGTCGGGCCGACCCCGGTCGGTCCCTCCGCGTGCGCGCGATCCACCGCGAGCCGTGAGGCTGCGCGTGGGCCCGCCGCACCTGCGTCCACCGCGGACCGCGCGCATGCACCGCGTCCCTTCCCCGCCCGCGCGCGTGCACCGCGTGCTCCCTCCGCGCGGTGAGCCGAGCCGCTGACAAGCGGGTCCCACCCGGGACCGCGCGCGGTGAGCCCGGTCCACCGGTCCCCTCTCTCCTCCCCTCCCGCGCGCGCTCTGGGCCGCCTTTTGGGCCGGCCGGCCCATTAAGCTCGGCCGAGCCGCCCCAAATCCCTTGGGCCGCACCCTAGCCGCCCGAGGAAAGTCTAAATTTCCTCCCTCCTTCCTTTTCTTTTTCTTTTCCAAAAAGGGTTTAATTAAATCCTTTTCCTTTAGGCCAAAAATTCAATAATCTTAGAATTTCAATATCTTCCCAACCGTAAATCCGTTGACTCCGTTCAACTTCCAAAATTCCCCAAATCTCGAGATCTATCTAATGGCACGCTTAGAGGTCATTAATAGGGCTTTATTTTCGCCGTTTGTTGAGTTGTCCCGTTTCGCGTGTAGTTCCGGAGCCCGAAGACCCGCAGTGCGAGGATTTCGAGGATCAAGCTCCAGATCTCGAGCAAGGCAAGCCACCTTTGAACATCTTGAGCCTATATTTGAAATTTAATTATGTTGTTTGAAAAATATTATGCATTGATAGGATCACACTTAATCTGTTTGTCCCGCCTGCAGGGCAGATTGGCGGACCTACCTAACTTGTTGCATTTGATCCTTCCATTGTTAATTGTTATACCATGTCCCCTTGTAACCACCCAGTTGCGCCTCGATATTCGTGCACTCTGTGCGAGTATCGACGGTCGCCTTCAAACTTAAAATCTGAAAAACAACTTGGGTAAAACTTGGGTTTTACAAAAGATTTGGAAAACCCGACACCTGGGTCGGTGCTTGCGAACTAAATAAATTTCTAAAACCGCGGACCGGGGAACGTACCGGGTGTACGGTTTTCCCGCTCCCGCACTTAAGGACCGATTCCTTGGAATTTCATCCGAACATAAGACAAGTACGACCACATGGGTGGAATGGGACACCCCTGGCTGAGTAACTAGCTTATCAGGGGAGCCATGATGCCGAGAGACATGTGGATTCGCCGGGGTGGTGTCGGAGAGGACCCCCCTGGGCTTCCTGGCACAGTATGGTCTGGGACCTAACCTGTTGTTGGTCTAGAACCCCTCTCGTCGGCATATGGTAAGCCTGTGTCAGCTTTGGAAATGCCTTGTCATGAAAGCTTGGAGGTCTCCCGACGTGGCTGATCCCCACGGGCTGGGTGATCCGGGTTAGTAATGTCGTGTGGGTAAAGTGTACCCCCTCTGCAGAGATTAACAAACTGTTCGAACAGCCGTGCCCACGGTCATG